AAAAGCATGTAGTCAATGATTTATTGTTTGGTAATATCAGTGTACGATGTAGTCCTTTGACCTGAGACATTGTGGTCAAATTTGATACAGATGCGTGTGATTCATACGATGTATAAGTACGAGACTAGTCATGTTTCGTATGATAAAACCTATTTGGTCATGCGTTGTTCATATGCGGAAACGAAAGATGGTCAAGAAGGGATCCATTGACTCGGAAATATAGGATCAGGAGTACCGTTGACTCCATCCGGATTTGAGTTCCTGGTCGAACATCGATAAATGTCGAAAATCAGAATCTCTGGCCAGGGTCTATTATTAGTCATACGAAAGCAAGTTCGTGATGACGAGTTTCGAACATATTGATCGACGATTCGGTAGAAGATCGAGTTTAGGATTTTGACGCTCCATGAATCTGTGCTCGATCAAGATATATCAATGGAATGACTTTACCTGCATAGTACATATGATATGAAATGGGTTCGATGAAGTATTTCTTCATCTTAGTTTAGGGACTATGACACATTGCTAGATGTTTACCAAAGTCGTTGGGCCTCCGGACATGTTTTCAGATTCATCCAAAATTGGCTCACAGCTAATCCACGGTGGACCTACATAGTCACACCAATAGCCTTAAGAAGTTAGAGAAGGATAAGAGAGAGAAATGATTATCCGAAGAGGGCTAGCACATTCTGAGGGTAATGACGGGATTTCTATGGTAATAATTGCATAGAAAATTGTTTGTGACATTTTAAGGGTTAAAATGGTCAAGCAATAATTAATAGTATTTAATTATTATATCTTAAAGCGTTAAGATAAATGAAATGAACGAAAATAACATTTTAATAGTTAAAGGGAAAAGGGGTAAACTTATGGGTTGTTAATGTAAACTAGTTTAGTTTACATGGGCCCTTGAATAATATTGATTATTCAAAGGGTAAATTAATAAATTCTTGGGCTCCTTTTAAAATAAGACTTTATTGGGGCATAGAAGTGAAAAACAACTAATTGCAAAATGGCTCATGTATATATAAATGCAAATGCTTGCATTTTAGGTCATTCATTCACTTTGTTCACTCAAAAGGAAATTCAATATCTCTCTCTTAGGGTTCGGCCACTCTCTTACTCTCTCAAGGTGGTGTTAAAGTGTGGAGGACACATCTCTTTGAGTCTTGGCTTCATCAACCTTAAGCAAAGGAGAAGGTATGATGTTTCTCAAACTTTGTTTGAAATTTTTGAATCCGATTAATCCAATCTTTCATGTTTTTCAATCTACATTTCCGCCACCTCTTCATGTTGATTCTTTCATGGGCTTCTTTCTTGGTGGGCTTGCGCTTTCCTTGTTGAGCTTGGGCTTGGAATGGTTTGGGCCGAAATGTTTGGACTCTCTCCCTCCTTGAAACTTGCTTGGGCGGAATTTCCTCCATTGCTTTCCACATTCCACAATCCAACTGTTTTAGGACTTGGAGTGAAATTCTTCAATTCAATTGAATTAGCAAGTGTTTTAGGACTTGTAATTCCTTGTCCACTCATGTTGTGTTTTAAGACTTGCAAACGTATCAATTTCCATAGCTTGGACTTGTCTACTACTTCTCAACGAATCTTCTCAATGAATCCTGCAACAATTAATTACAATGAAACCAAAAAAAAAAAAAAAAAAAAAAACTGAAATAAAAGTTGAACAAAAAGTATAATGTTAACGGGTGCATGCCCTAATAAACAACTGAAGATTGAATCTTGAAAAGTTAGTTATATCGATACATTAAAAATATAAATTAAAAAGAAAAGTGTAAAGAGAAAGACGAAGCAAGCTTGTAAAGAACCATTTAAGAGTCAAAGGTGTTTTTGTCATGAGAATTTAGGGTCCGCTTGGGAGTTTCATGGTAGTAGTTATGAAGGTAAACCATCGTAACGGTTTTGAGGGGTTTTTAGTAGCAGTTTTTTAAACACCCAACTAGTGCTTGAGAGTTTATTTTCCAGGGATTCTGACAGTTTTTTAAAATGATAAATTTACATATATGCTTATAAAAATACCCCAACTTCAACCAGTACTTAAGAGTTTTGTTTTTTCAATTACAAGGTAAGAGTTCTTTATTTGTTTTCTACTTATTGGTATTTTATAACTTCAAATGTGATAAAGTCTCCTTATCTTTCTCTGCCATTCTTTGCAACATCTGGAATGATTAAAAAATTGTAGCTCCACTTCTCCAAGAAAGCATCTAAAAATGAGATTTTAATAAATTTATTTATTTATGATTGCTTAAAGTTATTTTATATTTAATATGATTGGAGACACGTGTAATATGTTTAAATTTTTTTTTGGATATAATTGAGATAGTTTTATAATGGATAGAGTATTTGTGGAATAAAAGTTTAAAACCAACCAAAACATCCCGATTTGAAGTATTTTATAAACCCGTAAAATATACACTACATTGGTTCTGGGGGGTTTTTGAGTCAGTCAAAACCATTGCATAAAAAATCTGGCAAGTAATGGTTTTAGAACACCTCAAAACCGGTCTAATTAAAAACCCCTCAAAACCAATGAAAAAAAACTCTCAAGTAGACCCTTAGGGTCTTTGATTTCTTCTTCTTCGGGTTCAAGCGTTAAATACAAATATTTTGAATGATGTACTCCTGAATCTTCACTCTTCAGTATCTTTCTGGTTCTCCACCTCAACATAGAGTCAGAGTTTCTATTTAAATTTTATCATAAATTATTTTAAATAATAATACATCGTAAATTTTTTATAGTTAAATTTAAATTTCTGAAATAACATACATAATTTTATAGTTAAATTTTAGATATTAAAATAAATAATAAAAGAACAATTTCATAAAATTCTATTAATTCATAATATTATAAACTCTAATGGCTCATTCACAGTTACTAATGTTAGGACCTCTTTTGTTTTGTTTTTTTTTTTTTTTTTTTAGGTATATGAAGTATTTAGACTCACATTGGGATAATCCAATGGAGCAAGATAATTGTACAAATGTGGTAAGTATCTCTCCTAAGTTAAGTATAGCTAACACAGTGACTAAGGGGTTTACTATTTAACCACAAGGGAAGAGGTTGTTAAGAGGATTTTTGGTATTGTGGAAAGGAGATTTTGTTATTAAATCAAATCTCCCGGGTTGATGTTTTTAATTCTATTTTAAATGATTGAGTTATTGTACTTTAACTAGATGGAAAACCTGCACGTGATGAGGGTATGTTTATATAATTTTATTTTAATTATTGTTGTTTTTCATGTGGTAAAATATAATTAGTAAATAAGTTTGTCGATAATTTATTATTTTTTATAAATTGTTATTGAATTTAATGTGACAATATCTATGTAAATAGGGTTATGTTTACTTTGTTATATTTCATATATTTTTAGATTTGACAACTAATATATAATATATTTGAATATTATTAATTAGGAATGTCTTGAGATTTATAGCATTCATATTATGAATAGAATGATTATATAAAGACTATGTATAGTTTTGAATGATATTATGAAGAAAAAAACGTTGGAAGGTAACTCCTTCATTTCTATAAGAGAGACTAAAATGTTAAATTTTTATAAAAGGAAAAGTTTTAAAAACATTAATTAGAAAATTATATTAAATTATACTATTTATTATAAAATGAAGTAGTAAATATAATTTTTTGACCTAAAAATTTATTACTATGGGACCATTTGGATCGGGGGTAAATAAGATAACATGGGTAACTTTGTTTATTTTACAAAATTCTTGTATTTGATTTGCAAGTAATAAATTATTACAGTAATCTTTTATTGCAGATAGTGTTTATTGTTGGTAATGTAGGGGATAATCTTATTACCTTGTTAGGGGGTGTTATTAAAACATTACTAGGGTAATCTGATTTTTCTACCCATTTTGCCTTTAATTAAAAACCATTTCGGACACAATTGCCTCAAATGTCTACCAAATAACAAATACCTAGGCCCCCCCAACATTTGAGAAATTAGCTAAAACACCTTAGTCACAAAAAAGTTTAAAAGTTAACAAAATACCCCTAACCACCCAAGACTACCGCTGGCGTCAATCGCCGTAACGGTGCACAACTGGCGAGATCTAGCCAATCATGTGCTAATAAGGCCTTTACCACCAGAAACAGCCAAATCTGGCCATGAAAAGGCCAAATCTTTGGCCGTGAAATGGCCATAGATCTGGCTATTTTTTGGTCATGGATTTGTGATCCATCGCCATTTAAGGCTTTGCAGGCGCATGACTGGCCATATACGGCTAGTCGTGCGCCATTCCGTCAACTTTTGGCGACAACTGACGATGGTGACTGGCTGTCGGTAGTGGCTTGGGGTGTGTAAGGGTGCTTTTGCTACAAATTAAAGTTTTATATGGCTAGGTGTTTTAGCAAAATTGCAAATGTAGGGAGTTAAAAAAAATAATTCAAAAAATAATAAAAAATACTATTATATTAATATTTAAAAAGGAGGGCAATTTAGTAATCAATATAATATACCCACCCATTTATCCTCTCAACCAAACATATTATTCATTAATTTATTTGAACCAAGCAAACATATTTTCTAAACATTCTGAGTAATCTTCAAAGTGATATTTCTTTCTGTTAATATAATATACCCCATAATAAAATATTATATAATCCAAACGCCCTATAAGTATAAGTTTAACGCTTTACATTACTTATGACTTTAATTACCACTATTCAGTATTTTATATTAGAAATTAAACCATGTTATAAGTTTCCTATATTATGCATGGTTGTTAGATCAATTTTTTTTTTTTAAATTTATTTAGTAGACTTTTAGGTTTGATCATATCTTTATTCTGTTACATTACACATTATTCTTTGATTTCAACTTCATACTATTACAATACCCCACGATATTAATTGAATCCGCTCCTCCAACTCATTATAGATTCATAAATTTAATTGGTCTTCATAGGATTTCCTTTTTGATGAACATATTTGAAATTTAACAAACATATTCTCATATTGGCTTTTGAAGCTAAGACATGTCAAACTTTTTATTGCTGTAACTCGGTATATAATGTTTGGTACAATGGTAGTGGATGTCTATACAAATCATCTAAGATTGATGACCTACTAATTCAACATTCGAAATCCCCAAAACCTAAATGCAAGGAGAGCATTAGAAAATTCAAACACTTTCTTTAGCTCTTCAAATGCATTTATGATCTTTGTGTCAAACCCACCTGCAAACTGAACATTCTGACTGTTGGTAAAAGACATGATGAGAATGAAAGGATTTAACATGTAGGGAGTTTGAGTTTACCTGGTGTACTTTATTGGCAAATCCAACTCCTTGAAGTAACAGTTGTTGCAAACATTCGTTAATGGACCTAGCCAATGAGTCCTGTATCAAACATCCATTCCCATGGGATCTGAAAATCCCTGTATCTTTTACTGCTACTTTCTCTCGTTCTTTCTGTGTTGTTAACAATTTGCGCCAACTTGCAAGTTTCATATTTATTCATGCAATAATATTAATTTATACTATCAAATTTCATCACTACGTTTTAGTAATTCAGCTTATACATGCTCCCCTGTCTTGCAATGCTTGCAACCTTCTTGTTGCCTAAGCCAAAGACTCTTTGTGGTTGTCCTCAAATGATGAAAGCAGCTTCTCTTAAAGCACCTACTTTTTGTTCTGGCCATTGTGGGAAGTGCTTCAACACTGCCCTTTCATCAATCAAGGACGATAACTCCCCATCTTGCCATCTAACAAATGTCTCCACATCAGATATCTCTGAAAAGCTTGCTGATTCCACCTCTTTGATCAACAAATGTATGAATTCCTTTTGTTTTTTGACATCAGATTTTATTTGTGTATCAATGTGCATATTGTCAAAGAAGGTAATCATATTTGCAAAACAAAAGAGAAAATCTCAATGAAACGATAAGATACTGTTACACTTACAGCTAAAAGACAGCGTGAGCAGATCTCAATCTCTCCAACATGTTCTTGCTGCTAGTGTAGCATCACTTGAGTCATTCCACTGCTCCACTAAGTCAGCTTCATTTGCTTTTTTTGACAGAGAACGTGAGCTGCATAATCTAGAAATCAAGTCACAATCCACTCTTGGCATAAATAATAAATCAACAATCACAAAACCCAAGAAATTCATCAATTTAGTATCCTTTTTGAGGTAATGAAAATCATGCTCAAATTTAAGACTGTTAGATCATTGTAATGCATAAAGAAACTAATGAACTTAAATTTTGATATAAAAGAATGCACTCATTGAATTAGACGAAACAAAGAAAGGAAAAATGAAGAAGGAATGAACAATAACAACTGCAAAAAAAGAAGACAGGTCATTATGGACAATAAATTGTGGAATGGTAATTAAACAAAATGAATTTACTATACCAGCAAAGAAGGGTAAAATTTATGTGAAATAAAAGCAACTTTTAGTCCTTCTCAAAAGATCTGAATAGAGCAAATGAAGAGGTATGAACATCTAAGCCTCATAACAACAGCACTAAATGGAAGAAAAGACACGAAAAACGCCTTGTCTATCACCTCGCGAAAATTGTGATGACAATAGTAGCCAGAGGAAAAGAACAGAAGTCAGTGGATGAAACCCTTGCCCCACCTCGCTGCAATGTAGGTACAAATTTAATGGTGGAGGGTACAGGTTACAAATTCATGGTTAATGTAAAAATTGAATGGAAAAATAACAGAAAAACAAATTACATGAACATGAGAATTTAACAGCCATGGAATTCTACTACCAAAAGGAAAAAAAAAATTACCTTTTTCAAAGTCTCTTCCCCATTGACATCCACTTCAAGATCACAGCAAACTGCCATGACTCTAAATGAAAACAAGCCAAAAACTAACCCACCTCAACCTTCAAATAAGCTCAAAACTCTGTGCCCCCTGGAAAATCATGGGATATCAGTTAAGAAAAAATAAAACTTGATTCTGAGCATGTTAAAGGATTGCATAGGCATATTCAGGAGAATATAAAACAATAATGGCAGGAATGATTCATATCAGCCACACAACACAGGCTTCAACTGTAGCCAGTCAAGCACCCACAAAGTTATGGTATATTTGGCATACTGTAAAATATACCTATAATCTTTGTCTTGCTTCCAATCACCTGAAAACAAACAAAATTATTAACCAAACTCTTTGCAAATGAAATTCATAACTCAACTGATTTTCTATAAGGTTCTAATCAGGACTTGATAAAATTAAAAGAGCAACAACCAGACCAAACACGTGATAAAGGGTGGGTACCTCATATAATTGAACGACGTTGGGATGCTTTATCAACTTCATTGTGGAAATATCCTGGTTGATCTGCAAAATTATGCATAGAGCATATTAATAACTTGACAAAACATGAAATAAATTGCTATGAAGATAGTTGAAACAGTAACCATCCAGAGAGTAATTTAGAGACCTGTTCAACCATCTTGTGCTTGAGAACTTTCTCTTCATCAAGGATATTAAGAGTCACAGGTTCCCCAGTCTCAGAATTTCTTGCAAACTTCACTTTTGCAAATGTACCCTCACCAATTGTTCTTCCCACCTCAAATTTACCGACGCAGCATTTAATTTTAGGTTGACTCATTCTTTCTTTCCTTCTTTAACCAGAACTTCTGCAAGCAGGTTTATGTAAACTCTCACACCCAAATTACTGCAAACATAAATTCAACCATCATTAACATCATATGAAGTTTGTGAGATCTGATGATAAAATTAAGCATCTCAAACCAATGTTCACATCTAAATATCAAATTAAAAACTACTGGTTCGTTAAAAGAAACCCAATTGAAGTTCATTTCCTTTTTCTAGTATCTCCTATCATTACAGGAAAAAAAAGTAAAAATAAAATAAAAAGCAGATAAATAAAAATAAAACCCACTTACAAAACACCTTAAAGTTGCTACAAATAAAGCTTTAAAGTGCCAAATCGAATACAAAACAAAGATTTAAAGAAGAGAATTAACCTAACTTTAAAATATACCTATTACAGCACGAAATTCAGATCTTGGATTGAAGTTAGTTGCAAGGGGCGAGTTGTTCTGTTTTTTGAGTGATGGAGAGACAAAGAGGAGAGGCGGCGGATACTGACTCACTGAGTGCTGTTTCTGTTTTGCCTGTCTTTGTCTTCCATTAAAAGTAGCAATTATGAGTATGAAATTATGAATTAACAAAATTAGGAGCCAAAAAGAGAGATCCTACCTTTCCTTGTGGGGCTTGTTCGGTTACTAAATTTCCAATATCTTGAAGAACCCTCCTGCCCCTTCCATCTCCTAATGCATTCTTCTGCTTCACTTCCCCTAAATGATCTCCAAGAAATTCAATTTCCAAAAATCTTTGTTACAACACGGATGACCAACAAAATCACACAGAAAACTAATAAAAGAAATTTCAACCAAATGTTTGCAAGATCTAAAGAAAGAACACTATACACGATCCCAAATTAACATTTCTCAGCAAGCCCAGTTGCGAAAACCATAAACACGAAAGATGGTGAAGCTGGGACAGAATTTAGTTAAAGATTCAGTGAAAAAAAATGGTACCTTTAAGCTGATATTGAAAACTTCGCTATGATTATCATCCCCATTGCCCACGTGATTCTCACTAGCACCACACGCAATGTCCTCCGCCAGTTTGTTCTTTGTGAATAAATAATTTTCAATTCTTTTTACTTGGAGAAGAAGATGGAAGGCTTGAGAATTGCGAGGAGGTCATTTCTGAGGTTGAGATATGTAACAAGAAAAGAAATGAAAGATTCGGGGAAGCGTTTTAATTTAAGCGAATGTGATGGTTTAAACACCTTTTTTTGGATGAATTTTTTAATTTTTTTTTTTTTAATTAGAACTTTGAAATATTAATTTAGTAATTAATTATTGTATTTTTTATTAAACCTTTGTAATACAAATGCAGTAATTAATATATGTCCATATCACACATCTTACATGGAATTTAAATGATAAGAGTAGGCTTCAGAATTATGTTAATATGTCAAGAGTCCGTGTTTATGCGAAATTAATGTTAATGTAAATGTAAATGTGAAGAGTTGGTGTTTATGTGAAAATTAATCAAGTATTTAATTAGACCTTTGATGGCCCAATTACGTGATGTCACATGTCCAAGTTTATGTCAAAATTAATAAATTTTTAATTAGGCCTTTGAATGCCTTATTACATAATGTCACGTGTCCAACAATAATCATGTTTTTAATTAGACCTTTGGATGACCCAGTTACATAACGTCACATTTCCAATAATATTTCATCATGTCAAAATAAAGGAATTACCTTTGGATGCCCCAATTACATAATGTCACGCCTCCAACAACCTTCCTACGTGTCAAAATAAATGAAATCTCAAGCTTCAAAATGGCTATCATATAACCTATGCCTTGGAATTATATATATACTGGATGACACGCCCGCACGTTGTGCGGGTTTATTTATTATATTGTTTTTATTTTATTATCGAATTTTTGTATTTTAAGAAATTGTAAACGATTATTGTTTCACAAGAAAATATGTCAAATATTGATTATAATAGAACATTTTGTTATTGTTCTTTTTTTTTTTTTTAATCGGGTTTTTATGTTTAAAGATTGTTGAGAATCATTATATGATTGCCATTTAGGATGTCGTTAATTGGTCCCCGTATTTGCTGCTTATTGGTGTTGATAAAATAGGGATGATTCACATGCATTCAATTAATGTATGTAATACAGATCTTTCACATTCCTCTTTTAATTTGATAAAATGCAAGTGATGGAAGATTGAAATGGTCAGTTTGTAATTCAACAGGAATTGAATAAATTGAATTCAATACATAGAAGTTGAAAGTCTCGCTACTTATGAAAGTGGTTTTGACACAAATAAATTAATTAATTGAATAACGAAATAACACTGGAACATTTTAGTGATAAGAATATATTCCCTTTTCAAAGCAAAAGAAGAGTTGCAACACTTTTCTTACAACAATTTGGTACATAATAATATAATTGAAATGACAAATTTACCCTTCTTAAAATTAGTAGTTCCTCCATGGAATATAACTATTGCTTTGAGGTCCAACAGTTAATCTTTCACCATTTTAAAAGGCTGCCCAGCACCATGAAATGAGCAAAAATAAAATAAAATAAAACTTGTCATCCTTCATCATCCAACACAAACTCTACTCGCCACAAAACACAAACTATTAGTGGCTACAGAATCCACAACAAAAACATGTATAACCTATCTAAGAATGTAAGTTTGCAACTTTTTGCTAATAAAATATGCTTCATTGATAAACACTTTGCAATATAATATTGTTTATAAGACACAGAAAAACAAAATAAATGGACAATTTTTTTTTTAAATAGTTCATATTGTGTCTACACCAAAAAAGAAGTGTTTAGTAAATTATTCCGAATGTCACCCCCATCAATGCTCACTGTGACCATCACTGCCAAAGGTTGGCTGCATAATAAAGGAATCAAAACTAAATCAATTTACGTTTAGAAATAAATCAGTAATAATATGAAATTTCATAAACAAACAATGGTTTAAAGTAAGTACATGTGAGTGGGGCAATGGCTGGCTACACTTGGAATGACCATTTCCGGTTGGTCAACAAGTGGTGTATAGGTTGTTGTTGTAAGTGGAACAACTCTTAGTCAAGCACAGGGAGAAAGATGGGAACTGTAGTTCCAAGCTCCATGAATATATCAGAAACTGATAATGAAACATGCATCATTGATTCTCCAAAGAGCTTGATGCTAGAGCTTAGTTCGTCCTCAAGTCAAGAGATTAGTCAAATTAGACAAATATGAATATGAATATCCAAGAATTTGTCAAACATCCGCATATGTTTTAATCCAAACTTAAGTTCTACGCAAAAGTTCACTAAAAACTTAAAAATTTCTATTTGAAAAACTCTTTCTGCAAGAAGTTTGAGTTTATACTCAAAGAAAATAATGGGTTACTAAATTTAGTCTGGTTGCATAAAAGCACCAAGAAAAAAAAAATTTCAATTGCATTTAGACATTAAGAAAACTTAAAGAGTAAGTGCTTTTAAGATTACACTAAGTTGGCACATAAATCATCAAATTTTTACTCTATAAAAGAAAAGATTACCTTTTGAATACGGTCTCTGCTTTCCATCATGTTAGCTGCTGGGTTTGAGAACTAATCAAGTTCATTTATGATAAAAAAAAAAAAAAAAATACGTTACTCATTCATCCCATCACACACACATGCACATGCGCACACATAAACACATACTGTATATGCATTAAATGTGACAAAGTAAGAGAAAGTTGTGCAATTCTTGGAAGCTAATACATTGTGTAGTAGCTAAAATATATCATATCCAGTTTGATGGAGATCTGTGGACAAAACCAGACCATTATGTTGTGTACCATAATCAATCTATGACTTCACATAAAAGATATATGTAATGTATGAAAGAAATAATACCAGACATTGACGGAGTTAGAATGCCATCACCAATAACCATGCTGGCTCCCAAAAGCACTACCAGTAGCAATAGAAGTTACTCACTCCTCAATTGATCTTACATTTCATCTAGTTTTCTAGCACAACTCTTGTGTTATACAAAGGGCTGAAATCTCACAATACAAACATCATAAGTTCACGCCTTAGTCTAACATATCATAAGGAAATAATGAGAAGGAAGCAAAAAAGAAATAAAACCTGTTAGAATCATTCACAATGGCTTCAAAAACAACCTCATCAACCTACAAGAAATCCCAATTCAATTAAATCACAAAAATAATCAAACACCGCCATCAAATTTCCAATAAACATTTGAATTCTTCACACAAACATACCCGCCTAGTAAGGCCAAGGCTAACACGATCAAGAATCTTGAAATCAGACATCTTGAACCTCATAACATGCCCTAACTCTTCTTCCTTCACATAAACAACCTCAGATTCAACTCGAGAAACAACCTTCCTTAAAGATGAACACTGAACTCCAAAACTTCTCCTCTGAAACATCACACATGACTTTGACTTCCCACAAACTGCCTACTAATCAGCCTTGTTGACAAATTCCCACTTAAACTCCATCTCTTAACACCCTCCAAACCCGGATTGGAACTAATCCCACATATCGCCATATATCCAATCTGCAAAAAGACAATTTTGGATCATTCTGAGAACAAAAACAACTGTAGACGTTTAGTTCTCATGTCATTTTAAGGAACATATAAAAAAAATCAATATTTAAATCTAAGTCATTGAATTATACAAAGAAATGAATCATTCAACACATATAGAATAAGTTTAGGTTCAATTGTTGAGAAACTTATTCACTACTTAATTAAAAAACTTTTAAAATTTAAATCCAACCCATTAAGTTATACAATGAAATGGAACCTTTAAGAAATGGATTAAAAGGTGTAAAATAGTAATGTAGAATTATGCGTTAACTATAGAATAAACAGTATTTATATTAGCTTCTGGTATCATCATTCAGTGGGAACAATAAACTGTGAATCTTTTATTGATTTTATTTATAATAGAACTGTTTATATATATAGTTCTATTTTTTTCCTTGAGGAATACCAAGTTCCTTTTCTTTGGAAATAATCAGGGATTCACATTTTCGTAAATTGAATATTACATGTATGGTTGAGTCTGTTATTTCTAACAAAGCATTCATTATATCTCTGTTCATCACCCTGGCAGTGTTGAGTTTGTCCAGCGTGACTTTAAAGTTTTGTAGAATACCTTCCAGTTCAAGCGAACCATCTGACGTTGTTGCTTGACCTGCTAAAAATAAAAAAATGGACATGTAAAAGTAGATATGTAGAAGGAATATAAGAGTAATCAGTTGATGTTATTTACCGCACGCTTCTGTTTGTTTGGATTTTGGATTGACAGTAGTTAGTCTTTTGTCTTCCATTTGTTAATGGTATCTGTGTGAAATGAAAGAAATATTTGAAGGTGTATGAATTGTTGAATTCTCTACTCTTATATAACTTTAGATGTCATTAAGTTATATTATATGATAATTAATAATTACAACAACTGTTCATGTTATGTTCAATATAATTGGATTATTGCTAATTAATATGTAATAGCTGCGGTTTACTCATATAATCATAAAATATACATTCTTTACAAAAAGTTAGTATCATGTACAAAAATTATCAAAACTATGTGGACAGTGTAGCCATTTCTCCTCGCGTGCCGACGTCCATCCGACTGTGTCCTCACCTAGATCCTGCAAAAATATAGGAAACAACGAGGTGAGTACAAAAACAATGCCCAATAAGTAAATCCTCTACTCATCTATCCCCGTAACTCTCTCTCTAATTCTTTCCTTACAATTCTCATTTGCTCTCTCTTATACACTTCTCTCTATTTTCTCTTTCTCATAACTCTTTTCTACTAACTCACTTTTGTAGGTCATAACCTTATCTTACTGGAGGCATAGCCGGAACTCGCTCTAGCTCTCCGTGACTTCTACTTATTCTAGCTGATCAGACTCGGTTATGCATGGATTTGGAACCCTTGGCCATGTGAGTGTATAAACTCTCTCTCTCGGGTACTTTCGGGTATAGCCCTCATCCGCATGTACTCTCACGGGCTATACCACTTTTCTCTCCCATACTCAAGCCGCTTTCTCTCTTTGCGACGTACATACGGGAATACTCTACCCATTACTCACGGGTTCCCCATCGCACAACCTTCTCTTTTCTCTGTTTTCTCTTAATGAAGTTCACACTTAAAGTTCTCTACTCTTT